AATATCAGGGTGAACTTCCCTTTATGTATCATAATTTAACACTCTAAAAATGTATTTGGGAGCAACAAAGTCGATGTGACAAAAACATTTACCTTTTTATGTAGAAGTGTTATTTTCATCCTTTTCTCAGCAGTTATTTGTTCAGCTAGGGGTTCCAATTCGTCATCCGTAAAACATTTGATGATACTATACAACATAATTATATGTTCAAGAAAAGTACTTATTTAAACATTTTGAATCACTAAATGTTTAAAGAAATTGAAGAAGAATAAAGTACCCAGTGATATAACCAAACTAGCTACTGGGATTTTCTTGTTATAATTTTCATTTAGATTTTCAGTTTAGAAAATGTTCGATACGTCTACACTACCAAAACAAATATAGAAGTAGGGTAAAATAAAAAATCCCACATATTATAAATGTTCTAGGTGGTTATGCAACGATCATAACTTAATCAACAAGATGAATTTCTTTAGTTTATATTTGTGTTAAGTCCCTTTTTTACTTTATCATAACTGACTCTTGCAATAATTATTCTGGAAATAAATTTACTAATTGACAACGTTGTTAGGGCAGAAAACTCTTACACAAGCTTACACACGCTTTCAAAAATCTGATTGCTGTCAGAAATTGAAACCATTTGATTGATTTATTGGTATTTTTTCTATAATTTAAACATATTTGCCTATCCGTTTCTTTAATTTCACTTAGTTATTTTTATTGTTCATTTATTTATTCATGTATTTATTAATTTGAATCATTGTCATTAGTAGTATCATTACTATTATTATTGTCATTAAAAATATTATCATTAAAAGTATTATTATCATTATTATTTTCATTATCATTATTATCATTGGAAATAAAGACAATTTCTGCAAACATGGCCCTGATTTACTTACCTCATTGATTTGAAATGCAGATGTTCCATTAGATTACGTAGTATTGCTTCACTGCGTATGTTGCCCATTACTAGCTCTCGAAAGGTCAGACATGTGAGTTGTGGGAATGAACTAGAGAAAAGTTGCCCCAGTGAGGTAGGTTCTCCAATGAGAGGAACTAGGTTTTCCCCTTTCTTACCACGCTCAATAGACAACACTGCTAGGCTGGAATGTGCCAACCGTTCAACAACTCCTGGTGAGACAGTTTGAAGAGTGTTAAAAGACAGTTGCTTCAAGCTAGGGAATAGGCCCTCAACTGTGACATTAATGTCACCATCATTAAACCTCTGTAGACCATTTAGGAATTGATGATCTACAACCAGCTCTTTGATTGAGGATTTACCTCCCTGTGTGCAAAATGGCAATGAAGTACAGTATTATCAATAAATCGTTTCATATAATATAAGCTTGTATTAAAAGTATGAACAAGAATGGCAGATTGGTCATGTTCTACAATGCCATACAGACAGAAATTCCCAATCTAGCGAAAAGGAAAAGGAACTTTAAATACAACTTTTTCTTGAAGAAGCAGATATTTTGTTTCCCTAAATATATATATCTTACAGAAAAATTAGAGAAACAGGTCATCAAAAGTACGAGCAAATTACGATTAAAAATAAGAAACTTATGAAATTTGAAGTTGCAATCAATATCAAATACAAATTGGCAACTCTGTGACGTATTGTGCGAGCTCCTTTCCCATTTGTTCTGTACTCTAACGAATCTGAAATTTTTATTTTCCCTCAAGAACATTTTCAATCATACATGCACCCTAAATATAGTTATTGCATATTTGTTTATATTCAACCGGTATAGAAAAGATTATTGTCATCAATATTAAAACAAAATGAAAGTTCATGAAATTTAATGTACAGCGCAAATTGGAGAGGAGCTCACAAAATACGTCACAGTGTTGCCAAATTGCGTTTGATTGATAGCACCTTAAAAAGTTCATAACCATCTTACTAGCTGTTAAATAAATCGGAATTTGCTCAAAGTTTCACTGCTTCTATTAAATCCAACTTAAATCCGGGTGGACTTCCCCTTTAACAAAGTATATGATCAAAGTTGTTCTTTTATTTTTGTGTATGTTCTATCTTAAATACTCCTGTTGTTTTGTTTATAATGCAAATAGTTATGCGATTTTCTCTTCTTTTTTTTCTTTTTACACGTGCGCCATTAAAATTTGATTTTAAGTGGATTTGGCGCCTTACGAATCTCATATATTATTATTAATATTATAATCATTCTTAGTATGATTATTAAAGTGACTTTTTAGTTTATCAAATTATCAAAGGGTGGGGAAAATACTTATTGCCCTCCATGAGTCAATAAGCAGTCATGAATTGAAGCTAAAACGCACTTCCGAAAGCATAGGATTTCTCCTCCAATAAATGGTGCATGCACAGCAAAGTAGTCACAAAGGAACACAATCATTTCTGCCCCCTTCCCTCACAAGGGCTAATCTCTCTCCAAAAGAGGAGACAGTAGGTTGGGTTCTCATATGATAACATTAAGCCTAGTAGCTTAAAATAAGTAAAGATTCTGAATTTTCTCTTTAAAAAATCTGTTCAGCGCATTTTCAAGACTTAAAGAAGCATAATTCTAATAATAAATACCCCATGATGAAAGTTGTATATATCCCCTTTTCTAGCGAGTGTTCACTCTCTACCAAATAATGTCACCCTTTATGCTGCTAGCACCGAAGAAACCAATAATTCCATGCCAGGCCTTATAAGCAATGAAGACAGCAATGGATGAAGTGTGCATATTTTTTGAAATATCTTCTTAAAAGAGGTAAAGAGGTCAACGTGCTTGTTTAGGGTATAATATGCAGGTGGTCTGCGTAGCTAAATTTGGGAGCGAAAAAATGAAATGGTTCCGTCGCGCGGTGTCCCAAAGTAACGTTTTTGACCCGCCCCCCCCCCCCACTCAGGTTCCGTATTGACCGCATGCGTGTTGCCAAAATGTCCTTTTCGTAACAAAAGAAAAAGGTCGACCCGTATTGACTTTACACACCGGACTTTTGCTGAAAAGGGGGGGGGGGGGGGGTGCTGAAAAAGGCTCGTATACAAAAGAAAAAGGTCGAGCCGTATTGACTTTACACACCGGACTTTTGCTGAAAAAGGGGGGGGGGGTCGGTTGGAACACGCATATGCGTACCCTAAATAACACTGAGTGGGGGGGGGGGGGGCCGGGTTTTTTTAACACAAAATGGAAGACGAATTGTAATCATTAGTATTCTGTTTGAATAATTATATATTTACCGCCATTGTAGAAACTTGTGTATGCATTAACTGATAGAAGTCAGCATCCAATGTTGTGCAATAAAACTCTAATCTTGATAATGAGTCTGATGTGCATAGGACATCTGCTAGGTCACGCGATACAGTCGGGCCACATGATCTGTCTCTGAAAACCAACGTCTCCTGAAATAGTCATTAACACGTTATAATTACTATACAGTTCTTATTGCTTAAATGATCCCGACATGTTATACAGGCCTAGGTATATCAAACAGTATGTGTGTGTGTGCGTGTGTGTGCGTGTATATATATATATATATACATATATATATATATATATATACATATACAGCTTCAGTTTAGTAATTCTCTCCAGGCTATATAGTTATTATTCATCGCCGTTCAACAGGCAGTAAATGTCTACCAAGTAACGCTTCTATATTGAATTACATTATCTTTTCAAAGAAGAACATTAATAAATCAATACTGTCGCTTGCAACAAAATACAAAAATAGGTGTGTGCCAGGATAGATATACCTGGGTGCCCCCTTTTAAAACCAATTGCGGGAAAGGAACTACAATGTCTTAAATCATGAAAGCAGCGGTTCCCTTACAACAATCAATAACTGATGAAGAACTATCACAATATATGTTAACCTAGTTGTGTACATTTAATGTTACATAATGTCGATGTATATACTATTCATGTTTCTTTCAATCGAGCCTACATGCATCCAGTGTTTATGACATATACCCATGAACCAAAATAAAACCCAACTAAAATCAAACAGTATTTGTTTTTATAAACCGCATCCCTTGTGTCAATTCTCAAAAAGGGATACATGATGTATTTAAACAAAATAGGCATGTCAAAATGTATTTATTTGGTGGTAAATTTACATGCGTTTCTTACTTCGCGTATTCATGTTGACTTTAGTTATGTCTCACCTCCCTGATTGTACGCACAACTAGAACTATACCCGGTCAAACAAATTCGGTATAATGCCCTAACTACAGTCGGTAGTGAATTTCATGCCTGGAATTTTGACCAATCAGAGGCTTATAATCTTTGTGTGCGGCATATAATTAAAACTATAACAAACCATTTTATGCTGTTCCATGATGAATACATATCCAGAAATAGTGTGAGCAGGCATGTCTTTATCGATAGTCAGTTTTCTCTCGTCTGCAAAAACCCTTTGTCCTACTGCTTTTGCCGTGTCTTTGTTATATGCTTCAAAAGTGACATCTGCTAGAAAATCCTTGTGTATTCTTTTTTGTTGTACATCTGGGAAGTCAGTTTGTTGTATTTTCTTGACAATATCAAGTCCCACCTCCTTTCCCTTGGCAGCAGTGAAATACAAGAGGTAACGGAATTCTTGTGCGTTATCACTCATTGCTTTGCCCATTGACCTATTGTACTCTTCGCGATTCGTGTCATATAGAGAGGCAAGATAAACGGACGCAACATATTCTTGAAATAATTTGTGAGGAAAGAGGACGCTAGTGGTTATAGGCTGCGAAGCATTCGAAGTCCTTTCCCATAAGGATACATTTCGATTTTCCCGACTTAGAACTCCAATTCTGCAACATATCTTCATGGCTTCCTTACACGAGCTGAAGTCCTCCTCATTAAAAACCAATTTCTTTTTCAGGAGTCCTGAGAAGGCAATCGATCCTATTTTTTGCAAACAAAGCTTGGTATTTTCCATTTCCTTGTCCAGGAGGGCTTTATTTAATACTTTTGCATCCTTTGACACATAATGGTCTCCAAGAAATATGATCATTTTTTCAAATAATTGAGAAAATGTCTTCAGTCTGCGTATTTTTCTCGTTTCTCACTGTCACAATTTTCCCATAATATGCATAGCATTGCTACGTAAATTGGGAAAGGAGCCATGTTCTCCTTGATTACGTCATTCACTTCAATAAACCGACCAAGTTCTGATCCCGCGGTTTTATCTTTAACAAAGTACTTGCTAATGTACGTCGAGACATTTTTAGCACTAAATCCTTTTATTGCAATGAAAGCATACGACCTACTCAATCCTTTGTTGGATTTGATTTTATTCGCCCTCCACGGTCTTGTTGTCACCAGAACTGTGCATTGCTTGAATTTCTCGAATCGTAGAATCTGAGAAATATCCGACCTTTCTTTGGCAGAGAGGTCCCCATCATACTCATCGAGTCCATCAAGTACAATCAGAACCTTTGTAGGTTGAGACAATATGTAATTATTGATCTGTTTAGGGTTTACAACATTATTGTCAGAGAGATAGTTTTTCATAATATCACCAATTGTCTGACCCTTGACAACGTTGCGCAGGGGTATAACCAGAACCCAACTGAAGCACTGAAACTCTGGAGATCCATTAACCCAATCCCATGCAATCTTCGAACAGAAGGTAGTTTTACCAACGCCACCTTCACCTTCAACCAGAAGACGTTTGGGAGGTGCCCCATTAATCTGTGTAGTAAGAAGATCAGTGTAATCCAGTGGCATTTCGGTTCTCTTTGTTCCCATTTCTTTCCTGAGCAGCGTTAAGTTCGTGTAAATTTGCTGGAATTCAACGATGATATTGAAATCAAGCGGGTCTGGTTTGATTTTGCACATTTTTTCGCGATAGAATGTCTTCAATTCTTCACCACACTGAAGAACCTGTGCCTCAGTCATGTTTGGTTGGGAAGTATCCAGTGTTGGATCTGTACGGAGATTAACAAAGAATTTATGTAAATTCAACGAAATATCTATTTCAACAGATGCCTAACGCGTCTAGGCAACTCACATCTTTGGGAGGTGAATATACGGACAAATCAAATATCTACAGGGTTGCAGCACATACTGACACACAACTGCCTCACTTGTATGTTTATATGTTTACATGATTACATACATACTGTATATATATATTTATTTATATATATAAGATCCTTAAAAATACTTTTTCCACTCATTATTTTAATCAATATATATATACGATATTTTGGTGTAATGTTTTTTATTATTATGACGTCTATTACGCCATTTGTTACACCCCATGTACGAATTTTCGCTATCGACAATACCCCCAAAAGTGTCCGGATGTTACTTTCATACCCCCACTTTAAATGCAATCTGGGATAGCTTGGTGACTTAATCGCTTCCAGTCTATTGTATGCGGCCGATCTGGTCCCGGCAGCGGGCGCCGGATGGTAGTCACCCAGCTAGCTCATTTAATTCAATTTATTATTTGTCATACAAAAGAAACCACATACAATATATGCCCATATGTATATATTATATACTTTGAGGAGTGTACTGGATCATTAGAACCCGATAAAGCCGATGGCTTGAGGGAAGTGGGTGGAACCATAACATAAATTACAAATGTGGAAAATACAAAACATTACAATTCTCAAGATAACAAAATGCAAGACGTAAACATGCAAGACATTACAAACTAAAATATAACTAGAATTTAAATCGTCACGAGGACGATTAAGGTGGTCTGAAATATGAGCATGATCCCGGCATCTAATCGAGAAATAAATGTCACATTTGTGATAGCTTATTGTCTCAGCTACAACATACTCGATGCTCAGCGAAAACGAAGCTAAGACGACGGAGATATTGCTCGTGAAAGACGGAAATGTAGAATCCAGTTTTCAGAAAAAGTCATGTCCCATAGAAAATACACGCAAAATGTAAAAAATTGACATGCCTCCTTTATTCGCAAAAAAAAAGCCATGATGTTTTCATCAAAATGAAAATTCGTGGATGCTGCATCTGTAGAGCATTGTCTCAGCTAAAACATATCAAAATTTGGATGAAAATCGATCAATATTTACAGAGATACAATCAATTTTCCAAAAATATGATAACGTCATAATATGCAAATTGAAATTTTGAATTCGGAGGCCATTATGATGACGTCATGAGTTAATTGAGGGTCAAATGAGACATGAAATCATATTTCCGACTCATACTTTATCAAGATATGAAGAAACAAATTGGGGTCATCTTGCATCCTAAAGAGCTACAATGGATTTTGTATAGGCATGTTTTTGCTCATATATGCTATGTATTACAAGAGCTCGCACGCACGGACATTTACCTTGAACGGAGGCCATCATAAATACGTCATGAGTTAATTGAGTGTTCGAACGGAATTTACCTTGAACGGACGCTCATTTCGCTATTAATGGTCATGAAGAGATAAACAAGGTATCAAATTGTTCGGAATAAAATGGGCAATACTATGATAGACAAAAAAAGGAGATTCTAGGTTGCGAACGACCATTACGAACACAAACGTGCGCGCAAACGGAAAATGGAATTCTCAAATCCCACTTTGTAATTGAAATATGAGCATGATCCCGGCATCTGATCGAAAAATAAAGGGCACACTTGTGATAGCTTATTGTCTCAGCTACAACATACTCAAAGCTCAGCGTAAACAAAGATAAAACGACGGAGATATTGCTCGCGAAAGACGAGAATGTAGAATCCAGTTTTGAGAAAAAGTCATATCCCATAGAGAATACACGCAAAATGTGAAAAATTGACATGCCTCCTTTAATCGCAGAAATACGCCATGATACCATTGTCAAAATGAAATATCGTGACAACTGCATTTGTAGAGAATATATTCAGGTAGAACATATCAAAATTTGAAAGAAAATTGGACAATATTTACAGAGATACAATCAATTTTCTAAAAATCTGCTGACGTCATAATAGGCAAATTGAAATTTTGAGTTCGGAGGCCATTATGATGACGTCATGAGTTAATTGAGGGTCAAATGAGACATGAAATCATATCTCCAACTCATAATCTATTTAAATATGAAAGAAATTGGGGGGGGGGGGGGGTATCTATCCATTGTGATGAGTTAAAATGAATTTTGTATAGGCATGTTTTTGCCCATGTATTGTGGATACAGATAGCGCAGGTCGGCGCGTGCGTTCAACTTTGACAGCCGCTAATTGCGTTATTACAGGTCGGAAAAAGGTAAACAAGGTATCAAAATGCTTGGAAAAATGTAATGAATATGATAACAGAAAAAAATCAGCGATTCTATGTTGCAAAATGCCAGGACGCGCGGATAGGCGCGGAAACGCGCGCGCATAATTACGCGCGCGCAAATTTTAAAAATGCTTAAAATGGCCTGAAACGTATGCAAAATTAATTTTAAACGAATCGGAGCATTATAAAATTTTGATGCGCGCGTACGTGCGCGTCGAGGTGCGCGCGCGGAATTTGTTAACATTTTTAGTTGACCTTTGACCTGAAGTTGATGTATATCGAATATGGTTTATTTTTGATTACTCGTTATTGAGATATGATAATGACCTGATTTTTACAAAATGGCGCCTGGATGACGTCACGATGACCCCATGAACTTGAAAAAGGTTTTAGGAACTTGATATTATAGGGCCTGATGACTGACAGAAATTTCGAAGGAAATTGACCTTGTCGATGTCGAGTAAACTTGTGCACAAAAAAGTGTGTGGAAGAAATAAAAATAAACTAGAAATTTAATTCGTCATGGGGACGAATTAGGTGGTCTGTCTTCAAGTCTTATGATAGATTATAATATTTACTATATTGAGAAAGGGAGAAGTTATATAGACATGTAAACAATGATGATCATCATGATGATCATGATGATGATGATCTTGATAGTAATGGTGATGACGACTATGATGATGACGATGATCATGATGATGTTGATGATTATCATCAACAGACCACGATGACATTAGACTGAAAAAAATGAGAGAACATTTAGATAGTATATAGTCTCAGCTACAACATACTCAAAAATCAACAAAAATCAAGCCGAAATAACGGCGATATTGCTCGCAAAAGACAAGAATGTAGAATCCAGGTTTGAGAAAAAGTCATCTCCCATAAGGATTACACGCAAAAAGTAATGGATCTAGTGATAATAGGGTAATAATAAAGTAAACATGGTTGTTTATTACATTATTTGCGATTGTACGTGTTTTAATATTCAAAGGAGATGGTACAGTGAAAGGTCAAAAAGAAAAAAAAAGGGAAGAAAAAAAATTGTTGGAGACGCCCGGACTCGAACCAGGGACTTCGAGGTCGGAAGTCAAGTGCGTTACCGATATACCAAAACATTTCCCATAGAGATTACAAATAAACGGAAAATGGAATTCTCAAATCCCACTTTGTAAGTGAAATATGAGCATCATCCCGGCATCTGATCGAAAAATAAAGGACACACTCGTGATAGCTTATTGTCTCAGCTACAACATACTCAAAGTTCAGCGTAAACAAAGTTAAAACGACAGAGATATTGCTCGCGAAAGACGAGAATGTAAAATCCAGTTTTGAGAAAAAGTCATGTCCCATAGAGAATACACGCAAAAATGTGAAAAATTGACATGCCTCCTTTAATCGCAAAAATACGCCATGATACTTTTGTCAAAATGAAATGTCGTCATGACTGAATTTGTAGAAAATATTCTCAGGTAGAACATATCAAAATTTGAATCAATTTTCCAAAAATCTGCTGACGTCATAATATGCAAATTGAAATTCTGAGTTCGGAGGCCATTATGATGACGTCATGAGTTAATTGAGGGTCAAATGAGACATGAAATCATATCTCCAACTCATGCTTTTTCCAACCATGATATTAAAGTTGGGGGTCAATTGACTATCTGAAGAGCTATTTTGATTTTTAAAATGGCATGTTTTTGATCAAATTTGCATTATATTGCCCATAGCAGCACGCGCGGATTTTGAACTTTGACGCGCGCTCACGGCCTTATGACAGGTTAAGAGTAACTGAAATTATTGTAAATTGTCATTTACGGTAAGAGGAATCGAAATCATGTAAAAAAATTGAATTTGACCTTTTTTCCGCGCGCGGGGACACGTACGGACGGAAAATTTCGAAATGCTTAAAATGACCTAATTCGTACTCTCGTTTAATAGTTAAGTGATTTTGAGCATTTTAAAATTTTGACGCGCGCGTACGTGCGCGTCATGACCTTTATATGACCTTTGATGACATGACTTGTTGACCCTTGACCTGCAGTATATATGATATTAATATGAATGACCTTTGATAATGCATCATGAAGATATGATTGATAATGTGATTCCACAAAATGGCGCCTGGATGACGTCACGATGACTTGATGACCTTGAAAATGTTCCTGTCACGTCTCATGACAATGACCTATCACTGTGTCAAAATTGAAACAAATTAACACAACCAATCTTGAGTTATCCTATGAACAAAAAAGTGTAGGAAATAAATAAAAATAAAGAATAAATAAATAAATAATAATAATAAAGAAAATTCTGACGAAAACAATAGGTGATCTGTTTTCAACAGACCACCTAATAAACTAGAAATTTAATTCGTCATGGGGACGAATTAGGTGGTCTGTCTTCAATTTTCATGATCATTGACAAGTCAAAAAGTAAAACAAAATTCAAGAAAAAAAATTGTTGGAGACGCCCGGACTCGAACCAGGGACCTCGAGGTCGGAAGTCAAGTGCGTTACCGATATACCAAAACATTTCCCATGGAGATTACACGTAAACGGAAAATAGTTCTCAAATCCCACTTTGTTCGTGAAATATGAGCATGATCCCGGCATCTGATCGAAAGATAAAGGGCATACCATTGATAGCTCATTGTCTCAGCTACAACATACTCAAAGCTCAGCGTAAACAAAGATAAAACGACGGAGATATTGCTCGCGAAAGACAAGAATGTAGAATCCAGTTTTGAGAAAAAGTCATGTCCCGTAGAGAATACACGCAAAATGTAAAAGATTGACATGCCTCCTTTAATCGCAAAAATACGCCATGATGCCTTTGTCAAAATGAAATATCGTGGTAACTGCATTTGTAGAGAATATTCTAAGGTAGAACATATCAAAATTTGAAAGAAAATTGATCAATATTTGCAGAGATACAATCAATTTTCCAAAAATCTGCTGACGTCATAATATGAAAATTGAAATTTTGAGTTCGGAGGCCATTATGATGACGTCATGAGTTAATTGAGGGTCAAATGAAACATGAAATCATATCTCCGATTCATACTCTATCAAAATATGAAAAAAAACTTGGGGTCACCTTGCATCCTAAAGCGCTACAATGGATTTTGTACAGGCATGTTTTTTGCCCATGTATGCTATGTATTACAAAAGCTCGCGCGCACGGTAATTATCTTAAACGGACGCTCATTCCGTTATTAATGGGCAGAAAAAGTTGAACAAGGTATCAAAATGCTTGAAAAAATGTGCCAAATATGATGACAGAAAAAATTTGGCGATTCTATGTTGGAAGATGCAATTACGCGTGAAAACGCGCGCGCATGTGCGTGCGCGCGTTTTTTGCAAAATGCTTAAAATGGCCTGAAACGTATGCAAAATTAATTTGGAACGAATTTGAGCATTTTAAAATTTTAATGCGCGCGTACGTGCGCGTCGAGGTGCGCGCGCGGAATTTGTTAACATTTTTAGTTGACCTTTGACCTGAAGTTGATGTATACCAAATATGGTTGATTTTTGATGACTCGTTATCGAGATATGATAATGACCTGATGTTTACAAAATGGCGCCTGGATGACGTCACGATGACCTAATGACCTTGAAAAAGTAAATTAGACTTGAAATCATAGGGCTTGATGACTGACAAAAATTTGAAGGAAATTGACTATGTCGATTTCGAGTAAACGTGTGCACAAAAAAGTGTACGGAAGAAATAAAAATAAAGAAAGAAAGAAAGAAAGAAAGAAAGAAAATTCTAGCGAAATCAATAGGTGATCTGTCGTTGACAGACCACCTAATAAATAAAGAATAAAGAAAGAAAATTCTAACGAAATCAATAGGTGATCTGTCATCGACAGACCACCTAATAATACAGAACGACATAAGGTAACTGTATGCATCAAGTTATCCCAGATTTATAGACATTGCGCATTACAATAGTTGGATGGTGATACCTTTCATTTTATCTTCATTTAAAAAAAAATAGTATATCGTAAGTATTTTTCTATTTTTTATAGACTAAATTGTCAGTTGGAATACAGTGCGATACTGTGAATCTGCTATATGTGCCAGACGCACGAAAATAATAAACAAAAATATCTTCTGAGATATCCTTGGATGAGAGATGTGACTTAGATTTTTTTTTTTATTGCCTACAAACCCTATATAGCGCGCGACCTGGAAAAAGTTGCTCCGAAGGCATGACAAGTTTGAAATCACTGCATGATCGCGATTCTGTTCGAGGCATTTTGACAAAGACACTTACATTTTGACAGTTACACAATTTGACGTCTAAATATTTATGGAAGTATAATATATCATTAGATTTCTCAGTTCCATACTGCTTCAAAATGATAACAGCATTTCACACTGTGATTATTTGCGGGACTTGATCATTTATACTCACACTGAGTTGGGGTGTCTTGTGTCGAGTATCCACCTATAAGTTAAAATGAGACAACTGTATCTAAATTGAATGTTCTTTAAATGATAAATCAACTCTTTATAAGAGATCATGCATACACAAAAACCAGGCCTGTCAACCAAGAGGGTTAGGCGGCAGGTTATAATCAACACTATATACAATTGTTAAGTACATTAACAATAATAATACACAATATTCGTCATTGCGATTACAATGTAACAATATACGGTATGGGATAACAAGGAGAAAGAGGAGAGAAAGAGAAAGGGAAGAGGTGAACAGGAGAAAAGGAGAAAAGGAGAGAAAAACAGAAGTGGTATAGTACAGAACAGGATAAAAGAAGAAGATTGTAACATTATGATGAGGAAGGAAAGATCCCCATGCATGATACATTAATCAATAAAGGTATAATTGAATCGAAATCATTTTAAAGAATGCTCTTTAAAATAAATATGTAAGTCAACATTGTCATGTTGATCATTATTGACAGGAAATTCGATCAAATTATAAATAACTATTAACAGCTCAGAAGTTTTAATTACGACGACGAGGGAGTACCTGTAAACTTCTGTTGGGCAATACTAAAAACATGACGGGCCTCGAACAAATCCTCAATGATAAGATAAGAAGGAGTTCTAGTATCTCCCAAAAGGCATAATAGCTAAATGAAGGTGGAGACATATTAAATGTAATGTAATCAATGTTAATTATCCTCTAACGTGTATTTGACAGAAAACGTGGCCAAATAATTTACTTCTTTTCAAATATCTACGATATATATATAAATTCAGTGAAAAAGGGTGTTACTAAAATACGCTATAATATAGTGAAAATTAATGTTATTTCAAAACCAAAATCGTAGCATGTACGTACGTTAAGAAGGGTTTGGAATGAAGGGGAATACCCGTCATTACCCCTCCCCCATATTGACCTGGAGTGCCCCCCCCCCCACGTCACTTGGTCTACACATATACAGGACAGACAGACAGTAGCGTGAAAGTACAGAAATATACTGCACAGTGCACTCACCTTCTACTAGTTTTGTTCCCAATGCATCTAAATGTACACTCTTGAGTTTTTCAGCTAGAAGTCTCTTGTAATTAGTGCCATTCCTCTGGTTGACTCCCCAGCTGCAGATGACTTCAAACAGTGAATTGGACACATCTAAGAGGTTTTTTGTTAAAATCACTTTACTTTGTGCGTAGGAGACATCTAGAGCATTGCACAAGTCGTAGTAGTGTTCCGGAGAAACGTCTTTTACCAATGACAGCAACTCTCTCTCTAACTCCAAGCTCCACCCAGCCCTAACAGAAAAATTGATGAAAAAGAAAGGATAGGTCAAACTTCCTACTGAGCAAAATAAGATTAATATGCCTATGATGGTATTGTGTACCAGAAGAAAATTAATCAACTGAACCTTTAATCAAATTAAATAACCAAAGTGCTAACGTCATTTTCGCTCTTCGTCCAAAAATCATTCAAGTCACGGGCTAGAACAGGGCAAATTCAATGTTTGGGGCTGGTGTGATCACCAAACCTTTGTTTTAGCACAAAATTGTTTGGAACCAGCAACCCTGACAATTTGGCCAGTACATGACATCACACTTCGGTGCTTTATAAAGGAGTTCTTATTAAATAAATCAATCGTGTCTGAACGGGGTGACAGTTTGCTTATAATACTTTTATATTTTTATATTAAAATTTAACTTTGTTTTAATTTTTTATTGTTGTGTATGAGATCTTCTCAAAAGAATAGTATGTACAATCATAATGCAAAAATACTCAATTTTGACGAAAGTGTTTGTAGCATCTTTTGGAAGTAAACATTAATATTTCATTTTAGCTGAAGAAATATAAGAGACTTACGCTTCACGAGGGCCTGGGTTGAGCTCTACATCACCAGATTTCAAGAGAAGTAGTTCGGAGAGAGGAGGAATTTGTCCAGATATCAAATCTGTCTTTGACTTCAAGGATGGTCCATGACAAGATGATGCGGATTCTCCCATCTGTTTCTATAACAAAAAGAGAGAAAAGACACTGAAATAATTAATGATTGAGCATATTTCACTTCACCAGTACATTATCTATTAAGAAAATGCTTGTTATTGTTGTTTGCCTAATCATGAGAATATATTTATTTGTTTGTGTACAAATCTTCCTTTTCATTCATCAGTAATAAATTAGGACAATGGTCTTTAACCCTTACGAGACAGTCATTCCACATTTTGTGGTTTGATTCAATATCCTTTGACCCAGAACCTAAATAATATATACCAGATACATGTATAAAAACAGCAAAAAAATATGAACACATGTATTGTGTTCATGTTTATTGCACGACCATGTTGCATTTGATAACATTTTATTTTGTTAAGGAAAATAATTATTTAAATACTTAAGAGGTTCAACACTATAATTTTTCTATACAACGTGGACAGTTCCCAACTTCCAGACAAAGGTCTTTGAAATGTATATTGTTTTGAGAGACATTGATTTATATCAGTACAAAGGAGCAATGAAAGAATAACATTTTTCTTGCCAATTTGCAGAACAACAATGTAACTAAAAGTTGGAACTAATTGAGCCTTTGAAAATTCTTGTTTTGCAAGGGTCGAAACAGTCAAACCTAAGGTACACAATCTTTGATCTAGGTGCTCTTTTACGATGATTGGTTTTGTTGATGGCATCAACATGCTGCTCCTCTCTTTCTTGCTTATATTTTGTCCCTTTACATTATTTGTAATTTTACATTTACTTAACCCACTAACTACTGATCATTGCCACGTAGGCTTTAATATAGGGACCATCTGGATCCAGTAAACATATAAAAGGATATAAAGGGATGATTGAAATACACTGTAGTACGTTTACCCACCTCTTCATATATTTCGGTTATGCAGTATTTCCTTGAGACGAATGGAACTACCGGACTGCGTTTGACTGCCATGAGAATACTGGATTCGGCCTGTGGCTTCTTGCAGCTTCCCGATGATGTCTGATGCTCCTTAAGGAGTTCATCATCAGTTGCTTTCTTGGTGAAAGTATCAGGTTGAGGATATTGCTCTTTGCCCACAAAACGAGGTATTTTGCCACCCTCTTTACAAAATGGCTCATTTTGTCTGTCATGTTCATGCCAACAAAGGTCAATTGAAGGTAGATCTATGCTTATAGACACCGTTGGTTTTAGGAGCTTCACCAGGAAATCATCACATGATGGTGCGAATGGTTGGTATACTGTTGTTCCTGAACCAAGTGATGATAGCTCTCTCATAAAGCCATCTGCTTGGGTTTCATGGTCGTTGGTGTAAGAAGTCGTAATGATGAGATCAGCATTCAAATCATCAGTTGGAGTCCGAATGTCTTTCGTGGACGGATAGGAGGATGTGAGTAGCTCCCTCAAGGAAGTGTCCGACAGACTATGACGCGGTGCAATGGACAAATCAGACATATTATACTGTTCTTCTGAATCACCAACTTGGGTATCTTGCTCTATGCTTTCATCATCTGAAGTACGTACTGTTTTGACATAGTCATAAGCTTGTGCAAGCTGCTTTTCAATGTAGTCATTGTCCGGCTTTATTAGCCGATTAATGTTGGTCTCATTTTGACTTAATAGACTATCGATTTTTGAAGAATCATTTGATGTGATTATATCCTTGACATAAGAATATTCTGAATTAATTAGAGCTATGATGCTAGAATCATTTGGTGTAATGAGGTCTTTGATAATGGAAGCATTTAACGAAGTTAGCTCTTTGGTGGCAGAATCATATGGGGTATCAAGAGGTTTAGTGCCAGCATTCTTGGATACGATTACATATTTTGTACTACAATATGTTGGTGTAATTGGATCCCTGATACATGTACTAGTATAACTCGCCGTGAGTAGATCTTGGATTCTAGAATCATCATTTGCCTCGACTAGATCTTGTATGCTAGAATCATCATTTACCTGGACCAGATTTTTAATTCTAGAATCATATGTTGAAACTAGCTCTTTGATACCAGAATCGTTTGGTGTGATTTTGTCTTTGATAGTTGAATCATTCAACGTGTTTGGAATTTTGATGCTACAGTCATTTGAAGTAATGAGTTCTTTGATGCTACAACCAGAAGGAGTGAGTATCTCCTTGATATGAGAATCACTTGCAGTTAATAAATCTTGTAGGCACTGATCACATGAAGCTAGTAAATCCTTCAAATCTGATGAGTTTCCTGATGACCGAATGTTGGAAGTTATATGAGGACATCCCTTGGGATCAATGCCATCTTGTCTGCTTTCGTCATCTTCGGACTCCTCTCCAAAATCACCCATTTTCGCTTCAAGTCTCTCGCAAAGAACCTTCAGTCTCCGAATCCGTTGCAATCTTTCTCTCCTTGGTGTCAGCAATTGTTTCATACATGTATCAGAAGGGGTGAGTATCTCCTTGATATGAGAATCACTTGCTGTTAATAAATCTTGTATACACTGATCACATGACGTTAGTAAATCCTTGATATCTGATGTGTTTCCTGACGACCGAATGTTCAAAGTTTTATGAGGACATCCCTTGGGATTAAGGTCATCCTGTCTGCTTTTTTCATCTTCGGTATCCTCTCCAGAATCACCTATTTCCGCTTCAAGTCTCTTGCAAAGAACCTTCAGTCTTCGAATTCTTTCTTTAAGCAATCTTTCTCTCCTCTCTTTAACCTCATACTCCCTAATCCAATGAACGAATGTTCCGATTCGGACCCTCCATTCACTTAGTGATACAGGCATCTTGGCGAATCAATTGACTCAGTCACAGGAACAAGCCACGATCTGGAAGAATAATGGAAGGGGGGGGGGGGGGGGTTATATTAATTAATTAAACATAGCATTGGTAAAGTCCACACTTATAAAGTAACACATTTATGGAAAATTGTCAGCTGAAGAGTGCAACTATATAAATAACAAGAAAAAGAGTATAGTCACTCTGAATAGCACACATTGTTTTATTTCTAAAACTACCTGGTATGTTTTGTTTCTCATAAGCAATGACTGGAAAATAAAACTATAGTAGTAGTAGTAGTAGTAGTAGTATGAGAATAAGTTATAGTAGTAGTAATAGTAGGAGTAACTAGTTAGTAGTTGCACTAGTAGTGGTTAATTGTTCCGTGCTAGCATTGCTGTCTGGATGGTGGATTTCGAAGGCTGCCCCAGGCCCCCTGGGGGGGCATATACCCACATTAAAATGATTCTTACAATGTTAAGCCAGAACTTTGGATGTAATCCAGCCATGGGCTTTCAAGAAGAAGTAGAAAATGTGAACCGGAGGACATTTTTGTTGGGGGGGGGGGGGGCTGTTCCAAGACTGGTTTGGACTGCCTGGAAATGGCAAATTTACCCGATCTGAACTAGCCTATAATCTAGGCGGAGTGCCGACCTTTTTTCTTTGCTGCTAGACTAACCCTAAGCAGAACGTCTGATACGGCGAGACTACGAACCGTGAGTCGCGAAGCGGCTCACCGCCTATAATCACTGGTCTAGCTAATCAATATTCATATATCTTCAAAATGGCGGATCTATGAATCATTCAACAGCCCTACCAAATAAGGTACACCTATGTTACGTTCGACCAATCAGATATAAGAAACCGCAACGAAAAAAGATCATAGAATCCGTGGTCGCGCAGAAAATCACAGCACAAGGGGATTGCTTGGTATATTGCACTCTTTCCAAAACCAGTAGGTAATGCAACAAAAATATCCCAGCCGGCTTCAATAACGCTACGAATAGCGGATTCCTGCAGTTCTCTGAATTTTCCATTAGGAATGCCTAGTTTGTTGGCCGCATATGATAAACTTTCTCGCAGAAGATCGTCGTCGCATGAACTACCCGCCATCTTGGATGAAGAAAATGACGTAATGTCACGTGATTTATAATATGCATATGCATAGACTCTTCTCCATACGTGTTTCTGATTGGTTGAGTTCATTTCGTATTCATGAGGTTTTTTCGTACGAAAAACTGCCACGGATTCATGGTCGATAATAAAAAATAAAAAAAAACGACTAAAGCTAGACCAGTGATTATAGGCGGTGAGCCGCTTCGGTTCGTAGTCTCGCCGTATCAGACGTTCTGCTTAAGGTTAGTCTAGCAGCAAAGAAAAAAGCTCGGCACTCCGCCTAGATTATAGGCTAGATCTGAACTTGATATGAACTACTGACTGATGAGATGGAAACACTGAGGACTGTGAATGAACGAACCAGAATCGTACTATAGACCTTTTTTACACGTTCTTCCCCAACCACAAACCGTTTTACGATTTTCTAGGACGGTTTCAGAACGTAGTGAGAACTATATAGTTTGACGTGATGGGGGCTTAAGCAATAAACGAAATATCACAACTTTGGTTATGCCACTACAACTTCCAGGTACAACTTTCTGACCCTTAACCCTTACTGTACTGGGGGGGGGGGCCTGGGAGGCCCCCCCCCCCCCTCGACATTTTCGGAGATCGCGCCGCAACCGCTCGGAATTTCGAATTGTCGTTTCATGACTTTTTTCCCTCAAGTCTTACGCACATTTTGATACCATTTTCGTCGAAATCGGATATACGTGTAAGGTGTTACATAACAATTAGTATGCGCATGTCATCAAAAAAGTGCTATAATTGCATATATTCATGTACAAGCAGAAATGTGAAGATATGAATTGATATCAAATTGCTTTTATATGTTTCTCAAAGTAACTTGATGTATTTCAGAACAAAAGAATACATTAGAAATAAAACAATAGTTATAATAACAAATAAAAAACAATGAAATACATAAGAAAATAAAAAATTGAAAATCGCATCAAATTTGCATAAATTATCATTATTAATTACATCAAATAACTATTTTGTGTTAGAAAAGAAGTTTCATATGAATAATGAGTTTCAACATTACAAAAGTGGAGTCTGACAATTTCTGTAATGATTCTAGTTCCCTGTATATTTCCAGATTAGATATTCATGAATGCGTAATTTGCATATTCATAATTTATGCAAATTAACCTATGCATTTTCACATATCATAAAAAATAATGAAACCTCATGAATTTGAGATGAAGGAAACATTTATTCAATACATTTTCAAGATTCTTCACAAGTCTACTGACAAATATGTAGAGTTTTCTGTAAAATGCATGAAATTAGCATTTTGCATAATTAATTAGGCTATAACGACAAAAATTTGCATATTAGGTGTTTCGCTGAGCGAAATTTATTTTGTGGTTTTTTCAGCAAGTCGAAAATCTTAGAAGAGATTTTTAGAGTTCAGATTCTTTGTTTCATAAGATAAGAAAAAAGGTTCATTTTGTTAATTATAATATCAGGAAAGATAGATATTTATTCTCTTTCAGCCTAAATGAAGCATTTAGGTATTTTATAGAAGGTGAATTGGCAATTTAAATATTTACAATGTCTGTTGTATTCATGATCGATGTTTTTTATAGTAGGATTTGAAATGGCCTTTCTTTGAGTATTTGTTTTTCAAGGATACCTTACTTTCGACTTCGATAAGTAGCGAAGCCATTTTAGTCACTTGTTCGTGTAGTCTGTCGAGCGTCAAGTCACTGGAGATGAGCTCTCCAGTTTTCCCAGTTTTCCCGTTTTTGTCCTGTTTGACAGTGACATCAGTGAGCCCAGTTTTTCGGCAGTAAATTGCTTAGTTCCGGCCAAAGAAGTGAGTTTCCGATATATAGATAAAATATATTAATTATAAGTTGAATTTCATTCGTTCAACTTCAGTAATCATTGAATCGCACGTGTGAAAGTGAATATTATACGTGTGGTGCTATGCCAGGGACATTACTGTATAATTTGTTGCCGTTTTGACGAAGAGTAAAAGTGGATAAATGTAAAGGGATATAAGAGAAAATAATTTAGGCGAGATTTGGTCAATTTATAATGACCTGCATTGTGTTTATTTAGTCAGAGCAAGTGAAGTTTTGCTTTGAAATATTGATGTAGATTTCTGGAAAATGTAATTTACAAGCAAGTGGTTTGTACTGTGCAGGGTGTAAATTTCACCTACTTAATTATGCGCACAGCTAGAGCCAAGCTTTATACATAGGGCTTTGCATTGGAAGCAGTCTTCATGTTTTTAGTTATCTTTGTAACATAAACAGAGAGTTATGTATTGTAGGTTTGTGAAGACTTATTGAGTATAGTTCTGATAAAGGAATTTAGTCACAATTGTAATGTGGATTATTAGGAACAAATGTTGATTTTCAGATTGGGTTGATATTTTGGAAAGATGTGATTTAAACACGTATAATGAAATAGGCTTTTGGATTTCAGCCGTAGCATTTATTTTCGTTAGGCATTTATCAAGATGTTTATGAAAGTATACACTTGTAGTCACAAATGTTAAATAGTTGCCTTTATGAATTATGCAAATACAAATGCATGTTTATGTATAGGTACCAAATCACAAGGTTCAGGTTTAGGACAGTTTGGGTATTTAATATACAAGTGGTGTATATTTATGAGTACAAGTTCATTAAGTTGTCATGGTATTAGAGGCACTCAGAAATAAGAAAACAAAAGAAACTTTTTCGTGCAATACTTATTAATTTATTGTATTTTCTGTGCATTTGATTCTCATTACAGATTGAATTTTGATTCTGTGTTGTCTTCGACTCTTCGTTTGAGGAAGCTAATAAAGACGTCATAATCCCATTTCGAGTTTGGAACTTTAGCAATTTGTATCATGGTCAGCGAGCCATAGCATTCAATTTCTAGAGCTATCACCAGTTCTAGCAAGATGCCAGAATCAGAAGCAACAGCACAGCTGAAGTTGAAGCGGCGGGGTGCCAAAGCTAAATTGACAAGATGTGGAAATGCAGTAGAGCAGCTCATTTCAAAGAAAGCAAGCATGGAAGCTGTTGAGGAGAGATTCCATCATCTCAAGATCGTGTATGAAGAGCTGCAAGAGAAGCACGAAAGTTATTCGGAGTTGATCCTCGATGATGATCAGTTCGAGAAGGAAGAGAAGTGGATGGAGGTCTGCGACACATCTTTCATAAACTGGCAAGTAAACGCTTCAAAGTATCTTGACGAGTTAAAGGAGAGAGGAGAACCAGAGAAAGTGGAAGCAGCGCCTTCTACTGAGAGTCCTGCAGATGCAGTCCAGTCTGGGTCTGGTCAGTCCTCTTCTCCTGAAGTAGCATCCGCTCCATACAGCCTGAGGATTGAGAAGCCGCATCAGCCCAAGTTTAGCGGAGATGTCCGGGAGTTTTTCGTTTTCCGAGACGATTTCAAACATCTGGTAGAAAGCCGATATAGTAGTAGGGATGGTATCACCATCCTACGTAGCTGCCTGCAGGGTAAGCCCCTCGACCTTATCCGGGGTATTGGAACTGATTATAATGCTGCATGGGAGCAGTTGGAGTTAATTTATGGAGATCCCAGATTCGTAGCTGATGCTATCATAGATGACATCAGCAAGTTCCGAGCACTAAAGGAGAATGAAGATAGCCGCTTCTGCGAATTAGTGCATCTGGTGAGGAGAAGTTACAACATCCTTGTAAGTGTGGGAAGGCAGCATGACATGGACAACAATCACATGTTGGCCTCTATTGAGAGGAAGTTGAGCCAAGGAGACCGCAAGGTATGGTTCAGATGCCAGGAGAAGGATGAAGATCCAGCATCACTACACATGCTCCTGGAGTGGATGGCCAACGAGATGAAGGCCAGGATGCGTGCCTCAGCCCCGCTACGTAGTGAATCCCGCCAAGGAGCTGTTGGTTTCTGTGCGCAGAAAGACACGAGGCCAGATAAGGAGCGGAAGTGGGTTCAAACACCTAGTGCCAAAGACAGGTGTTGGATCTGCCACTCATCAGAACACTGGATAGATCAGTGCAAGAGGTTTATCTCCAAACCAGCATCAGAAAGATTGCAGATTGCCAAGGAGAATCGGGCTTGTTTTAGCTGCCTTAAGCAAGCAGAGAGGGGGCATTTGATGGCAACATGCAATAGACGCAGACAGTGTCCAGAGATGAGACAAGGCCAAAGGTGTAAATTCTATCACCATCCATTGCTGCACCTGGAGTGGGTACCGAGGCAAGATGATAGTTTGGAGCAAACCCAACGAGGCCAAGTGGGAGTCGCTACAGTTGTAGCTAAGGAGTCTCTTCTACCCATTGTTTTGGCAGAGGTCTTAGGATGCAATGGTGATATGAAGGAGGGAAACGTGTTGCTAGACTCGGGTGCCCAGATAAGCCTTATCCGGCAGGAGTTAGCAACAGAGCTGCAGTTAGAGGGCACACCTACAACCATTACCATTTGCAAGATTGGAGATGAGCAGGAGCTTCTGCACACTAACATCTACAAAGTGCTAGTTAGAGAGAAAGGTGAAGGTGGCGAGCCTTTTACTGTGTCAGCCATAGGAATTCCGTGCATTAGCAAACATGTACAGGCTATCAACTTGGACGATCTAGCAAGGAAGTTTCGCATAAAACGGAAGGATCTACATAGAAGTAGTGGACCTGTGGACATTTTGATAGGAGTTGACCACACAAGGTTTCATTGCGGTGAAACCAGGGAAGTTGGCAACTTTATTGCTAGCAAGTCGAGGATAGGATGGGTTATCTTTGGAGCAACACGTGGTGACAGAGTGCAGAGCAGTGCAGTACTGCATGTAAAGTTAGCAGCACCTGTAGATTTGACGGACTTTTGGTCAGTTGAGACAGAGGGAGTGAGGCCTGAAGGATGCCAGTGTATAGAGAGCAAACTCACTAGACAAGAGGTGATAGAGGAACAGGTGATCAGGTCCTCAGCTCACAAGATTGGAAAGCAGTGGCAGATAGCCTACCCTTGGCAACGAGATCCTGAGATGTTGCCTGACAATAAGTGGCAAGCAGAGAAGGTGCTTCAGTCCACCGAGAAGAGGCTTGCCCGGAATCCTGAGCACGCTAAAGCTTATGACCAACAGATCCAGGAAATGGAGGATATGGGGTTTGCCAGGAAGCTTTCACCCCAAGAGATGGAGTGCCATGAAGGGCCAGTACATTATATCTCCCATCATGCTGTTGTGAGAGCTGAGAAAAAGAGTACTCCAATCCGGATAGTATTCAACTCGTCAGCATCATTCCAAGGCCATAGTTTAAACGAGTACTGGATGAAAGGGCCTGACCTCTTGAACAGTCTACCTGGAGTGTTGTTAAGATTCAGGGAGAAGTACATCGCCATATGTGCAGATATCTCCAAGATGTACCACAGGGTGCTCATACCAGAGAGTGACCAACATGTGCACAGGTTTCTTTGGAGAAACATGGATGTCAGTAGAAGGCCAGACGTATACATCATGAAGGTAGTAACCTTTGGAGATAAACCGGCAGCAGCAATGGCACAGATTGCTCTCAAGATGACTGCTGAGCAGGGGGAGAGTAAATACCCAGAAGCAGCCAATGTACTCAAGAGGAATGTGTACATGGACGATATTTGTGACTCCGTGGAGACGCTTTCTGAAGCAGAGACGCTCACCGGCGATATAGATGAGGTACTTTCGAATGGTGGCTTTAAAGTGAAGGGATGGTTATCAAATAAACCATTGCATGGAGACAGCAAGGAAGGAGAGATGAAGCTGCTAGAAGCCCTTGCTGAAGAGAAAGTGTTGGGTGTCGTGTGGGACAAGAAAGACGATGTGTTCTCATACAGAGTAAAGTTCCGTGAAGGAGTGATGCCTTCAGCCAATGAAGGAGAGAGCCGTCTGAAACTCACCAAGAGGAAGATTCTAAGCCAGGTAGCCCGCGTCTTTGATCCCATTGGATTTGCAGCTCCGATCATCGCACGTGCTAAGATGGGTCTACAGAGGCTATGGCAGATGGGTCTTGGATGGGACGATCCATTACCAGAGAAAGAGCAAACTGAGTGGACTAAGTTGTTTGAGGAGATGACTTTGCTCAACAATGTCAAACTGAGGAGATGTCTTACACCACAAGATGCAAGAGGCAAGCCAGTTCTGTGCATTTTCAGTGATGCTTCAGAAAGTGCATATGGTACATGTGCGTACCTTAGATGGCGGACTGATGACAATAAGTATGAGGTGCGGTTTGTGGCAGCTAAGTCAAAGGTAGCACCACTCAAGACTTTGACGATGCCTCGTCTCGAACTTCAAGCAGCAGTAGTAGCCGCGAGACTTTACAAGGCAATCAGCGAGGAGATAAGGCTAGAGATAGAGAAGGTGGTTTTCTTCGTTGACAGCATGATTGTTTTCCACTGGATCAAGTCGCCTGCGAGAAGCTTCAAGGCGTTTGTGTCAAGCAGAGTAGGGGAAATTCAGAGTTTAACAGATCCCTCACAGTGGAAGCACATCCCAGGAACAATGAATGCCGCTGATGATGTGTCAAGAGGAGTAACTGTTGACAAACTGGCTGAAGTGTGGAAGCATGGCCCTAGCTTTCTCTACACTGATGAATCAGAATGGCCAGTAGATGAGCCCGAGGCAGATCAGCGGGCTGTTGATAGTGAGCAGAGGAAGTCTCCGGCAGTATTCTCAGTACATGAGACAAGTGAAGTACTAGAGTGCAAGAAGTTCTCTAAATGGAGAAAATTACTGAGAGTGACAGCCTACGTGATGAGATTCGTTAATATCTTGAAGTCCAGAATCCATAAGGGGTCTCTACCCGACGAGAAGACGACTCTAACTACCACTGAGTTAGAGAGAGCTGAGATGTATTGGATAAAGGTAGCCCAGGAGAGAATCAAGCCACACTTCAAGAAGGGAGACTTCAAGGTGCTCACTCCTTTCATCGATGAGGAAGGGGTGATCAGAGTTGGTGGTAGAGTGGGAAACATGGACATATCATATGAAGCTAAGCATCCTGTTCTACTCCCATATGACCATGGTATTTCACTTCTGATCACTAGGTACATGCATGAATCGGGTCACCATGGTGTAGCAGCGACGACAGCCAGGACAAGAAAGAGGTTCTGGATCCTGAAGGGACACCGGCTTGCTAAGTCGGTAAAGCACCGCTGCGTGGTATGCAGAGCAGCAGCATGCCAGGCAGAGATACAGCAGATGGCCAGCCTACCAAGCATCCGAGTAGCTCCGTTCACGCCGCCGTTTCATTTTACGTCGTGTGATTACTTCGGCCCATATCATGTGAAAGTTAGTCGAAACAAGAAAGCGAAGCACTATGGCGTGATTTTTACTTGTTTGAATACAAGAGCGGTTCACCTTGAGCTAGCAGTAGATTGTTCAACGCAAGAGTTTCTGCAGGTCCTCAGAAGGTTTTTCGCGATTAGAGGTCACCCTAAGGTCATCATGAGCGACAACGGTACTCAGTTTGTGGGTGCCAAGCGTGAGCTACGAGAGATGGTGACAGGGTGGGATGATGTGCAGCTTAGAGATTTTTGTGCAGAGATAGGGGTTGAATGGCAGTTCACCACGCCATTAGCTCCACATCAGAATGGATGTGCCGAGGCACTTGTTAAAAGTTGTAAGTTTGCTCTACACAAAGCAGTAGGTAGTCAGTGTTTAACACCCTTTGAGCTGTACACATGTTTAGTTGAGATAGCAAACCTAGTAAACCAGCGACCCATTGGTAGGATACCGAATGATCCAGATGATGGAAGTTATGTTAGTCCTAATGATATGTTGTTAGGAAGAGCGTCGCGAAGTGTACCCCAAGGTCCGTTTAGGGAGACAGAGAATCCGCGTCATCGCGTCGAGTTCGTACAGCATATAGTAGATTCGTTCTGGAGACGCTGGTCTCGAGATGTTCTTCCGCTCCTCGTGCCTAGCAAGAAGTGGAACACAGAGCGTCGTAATGTACGCGTGGGGGACGTCGTCATGACCGCAGAAGCAAACGCGGTACGTGGAAAGTGGACAATTGCCAGGGTGATACAAGTGTATCCTGGTGCTGATGGTAGAGTTAGGAACGTACAGTTGAAAACAGCGGTGGGCATATATCGCAGACCAGTTACGAAGATAGCGGTTATTTATCCCACTGAAGGCTACGATGAGAGCGTATAGGATTTATAGACAACTCTGAAAAGGTCTTGAACAGAAACTAGAATAAAACTTCAGTAAAAGTTTTCTATGTATTTGTCTATGTTAATATAATTAAGTCTTGGATTGAGACTAAGGTATATGAGGAAAAGTCCTCATCCGGGGGGAGGATGTTTCGCTGAGCGAAATTTATTTTGTGGTTTTTTCAGCAAGTCGAAAATCTTAGAAGAGATTTTTAGAGTTCAGATTCTTTGTTTCATAAGATAAGAAAAAAGGTTCATTTTGTTAATTATAATATCAGGAAAGATAGATATTTATTCTCTTTCAGCCTAAATGAAGCATTTAGGTATTTTATAGAAGGTGAATTGGCAATTTAAATATTTACAATGTCTGTTGTATTCATGATCGATGTTTTTTATAGTAGGATTTGAAATGGCCTTTCTTTGAGTATTTGTTTTTCAAGGATACCTTACTTTCGACTTCGATAAGTAGCGAAGCCATTTTAGTCACTTGTTCGTGTAGTCTGTCGAGCGTCAAGTCACTGGAGATGAGCTCTCCAGTTTTCCCAGTTTTCCCGTTTTTGTCCTGTTTGACAGTGACATCAGTGAGCCCAGTTTTTCGGCAGTAAATTGCTTAGTTCCGGCCAAAGAAGTGAGTTTCTGATATATAGATAAAATGTATTAATTATAAGTTGAATTTCATTCGTTCAACTTCAGTAATCATTGAATCGCACGTGTGAAAGTGAATATTATACGTGTGGTGCTATGCCAGGGACATTACTGTATAATTTGTTGCCGTTTTGACGAAGAGTAAAAGTGGATAAATGTAAAGGGATATAAGAGAAAATAATTTAGGCGAGATTTGGTCAATTTATAATGACCTGCATTGTGTTTATTTAGTCAGAGCAAGTGAAGTTTTGCTTTGAAATATTGATGTAGATTTCTGGAAAATGTAATTTACAAGCAAGTGGTTTGTACTGTGCAGGGTGTAAATTTCACCTACTTAATTATGCGCACAGCTAGAGCCAAGCTTTATACATAGGGCTTTGCATTGGAAGCAGTCTTCATGTTTTTAGTTATCTTTGTAACATAAACAGAGAGTTATGTATTGTAGGTTTGTGAAGACTTATTGAGTATAGTTCTGATAAAGGAATTTAGTCACAATTGTAATGTGGATTATTAGGAACAAATGTTGATTTTCAGATTGGGTTGATATTTTGGAAAGATGTGATTTAAACACGTATAATGAAATAGGCTTTTGGATTTCAGCCGTAGCATTTATTTTCGTTAGGCATTTATCAAGATGTTTATGAAAGTATACATTTGTTGTCACAAATGTTAAATAGTTGCCTTTATGAATTATGCAAATACAAATGCATGTTTATGTATAGGTACCAAATCACAAGGTTCAGGTTTAGGACAGTTTGGGTATTTAATATACAAGTGGTGTATATTTATGAGTACAAGTTCATTAAGTTGTCATGGTATTAGAGGCACTCAGAAATAAGAAAACAAAAGAAACTTTTTCGTGCAATACTTATTAATTTATTGTATTTTCTGTGCATCTGATTCTCATTACAGATTGAATTTTGATTCTGTGTTGTCTTCGACTCTTCGTTTGAGGAAGCTAATAAAGACGTCATAATCCCATTTCGAGTTTGGAACTTTAGCAATTTGTATCATGGTCAGCGAGCCATTAGGAAAAAACTAATTATACCATCTTGTTCCTTACGTAAATATCTACAAACATGCAAATTTTCGCGTTCATCGGACATTCGACGACCGAGATCATAGGGGGGGGGGGGCCTCCCAGGCCCCCCCCCCCCCCCCAGTCAGAGAGTGCTCGAAATAGCCCAGTACAGTAAGGGTTAATAATGGGCACCATTTTGGGCTAAAAAATTGATGGCCCTTAAAAATGGTTATGGGTTTAGAATCTTCAGCCGCACACCCCCGTCCAAACCAAATCTGTGTAGTAATCGTAGTAGTAGTAGTAGTAGTAGTAGTAATATAGTAGATATAGTTTTATTAGTAGTAGCTGCAGTACTAGTAGTAGTAGTAGTAGACCAGCGGTTAGAGTCTACGGTGGTAAGCGCTTTATAAGTAACGTTTTTTTTATTTGTTTAATATTTTGTTTTATATACCTCATTTTAAGATTCTTTACTAATCCTGTCTTCTGATTGGTTGAAAATGCAGTCATGTTCTTAACCATGCCCGCTAATTGAAATTCATAGTCATTTTTCCCGGCTCTACCGGTTTATATCCATTTTTCATAGCACTTTTTCCATGGCTGTGAAACGTGACGTCATTTTGCTGCGATCCCCATTTTGGTTTACGTGTTACCGTATAAGTTTCTTTTGTGCGATGACCGATGCGCAATACCGTTAACGGTGTTTGAGTGTAATTCGATTTTGGTCGCTGCATTCAGGCGACGAATCTACCAATCCACGCAGCGCAGACGACCGATCGCCATTTTGTGTACTAGTCTCGATCGCAAAATACTGGGGTAAGTCAAATAATGGGTGAGTCAACATTTTCCCTTTTTTCGGTATATAAAATATATATTGACTGCTTTTAATATTCGAGGCATAGTTGTTTCTATAGGGTCTCGGGAAACTCACAACCTGCTATGACCCCGCGGCGCAAGCACCTTGGGGTCATAGCAGGTTGTGAGTTTCCCTTGACCCTATAGAAACCACTATGCCTCTCAAAGCAGTCAATATATCCTTATTAGTAGTAGTACTTAATTGTATTAGTAGTAATTTTACTTCTAGTATTCAATAGTAATACTTGAAATTTAGTTAAAACTAAATGTGTGTTTTGGTGTGGTTTTTTTCTCGTAAACTACCTGGTAAGTTTTGTTTGGCATAAGAAATGAATGGGAACATATAGTAGAAGTATTACTTGTTACTTGTATAATAGTAAAAGTAGTATTTTTAGTAGTAGAAGTAATATTAGTAGTATTAGAAGCAGCAGAAGGAGTAGTAGAATAAGTAGTAGTGGTGGTGGTAACAGTAAAGTAGTTAGAAGTCGTAGTAGTAGTAGGAGCAGTAGTAGTAGTAGTAGCAGGAGCAGTAACAATCGTAGTAGTAGTAGTAGTAGTTGTTGTTGTAGAAGTAGTAGTAGTAGTAGTAATAGTAGTATAAATAGTAGGAGTAGTAGTAGTAGTAGTTGTAGTAGTATTAGTAGTAGTCATAATAGCAAATACTGAAAATGAATAGGGTAGGCAACTATAGTCGACATTGTTATTGTCACCATTTCTCAGTAGATCAACCAGTTTCAGTACATTTAGTATATTCACATTCTTGACATTCAATTTATTTAAGCTTGTAGAAGATCATGTTGAAAGACAACAGCGATTTAATTGATCATTCAAAAAAATATATAGATATATTTAAGTGCACTGGCATGAATCTATTCCCGAGACAACGTGAGTGTGTTGGCAATAATAATCTCTAGTTTGTATCGACTAAAATGTTATAAAGAAGATGACTTGTTTGACATTTTTGCAATGACTTTCAGCTAAATCTATTTACAGCCAATTCATTATAGGCTTTTTTCAGCTCCTGAAATGACCCGAACATGCTTTCAATTAGCTATGCAGTATTGACATTGCTCTTGAACCTACATGTTTTTTCTCCGAAGTGTTTTTTTTCTTCTTCATTTTGGACATCATTTTTTTTACCCATATTATTTTGAGAGAGTGGACTTACATGCATATACATGCATGTTTTCTTACAAACATTGTAATTATCATGATAAAATTAAGGTAGCCTAGGAAAATTGGATATCTTAATTGTCTTGCGAGTTCAGGCACTTGAATTAAATCGATACGAGTTTCACTCTAGAACTCGAAATGGACAGATCCATATTCGGGTACCCCCCCCCCCCCACTCCCCTATCTAAATCACTGAACAAAGAAACAAACATACATAAACAAAATGACTCAAGCAGTAAAAGAAACGATAAAGCGACAGAAAAAGAGAATTTTCTTTACATCAACTCTTTACAACAATCCCAAATCTAAAAATTATACAAAAATGAAATCGGGAAACCATCCGCCCCCATCCCCCAGTACTTACAGTACTAAGCTTATTGGTATAGGAATATTGTTCGATACGTTTACCTTATATTCTGATGTGCGTGTACACCGTTACACCAAATGAAACTTAGAAGGGAAGTCAATTCTGTTCATCATTCTCTCATTTGCTTCAACACACGCACAACGAAACAGTCAGGCGTCAACGCCAACGTCAAATGTTTGCATGTATCACTGGCAATGGTACATGTATAAACTGATATTATAATGCCGAAAACCAGCCAATTTACTATAAAAACAAGATTACTATACAGTCAAGTCAACGTGGATATTGCCCGCATATATATATATATGAGCGTCACGCCCTTCCAAACTTGACTCTTTCCGGGTTGTGTGTATGCGTGCGCACTTAACACGATATGATTGTACAATTTTGATGTATTATACTTTTGAAACTTTGTAACCCCCGCGTTGCAAAGATAATTTTCATAACGCCAGAGGCAGTGCACACAAATATTCCCTGTAATGAAACCTTACTCATAAGGCATAACGCTGCTGACATGGATGACTGGGTAGCAGCCTTTACAAGCAAGTATTGTTAACATCCCCTTGTGCAAACACTCCATGGTACCAATACGTTTTGGCTGTAGCATTCAATGTGGGAGAAAAGCCTCTATATACGCACTGTTATTTAAGTCCGAAACATATTTGCATTATTTTGTGCAATTGCTAAAAATGTAAAAATGTGAACTCAATATATAAAAAGGCTCATTTGCAAGCAACTTGATTTCTTATTGTAATGATAACACAATCTTGCCACAGGTTGGTATTCCTTGTTAATCTAAGCCTTGTCACTAAGCATTCAGAATGGATAAAGTTTACTTGGAATGCTACCCCAAAGCCTACTGTCAGTATCTTAGAGGTTAGTAAACCTCTGATATGTATGTGCTGTCGAGACATCCGTATGCACCAAACATATCTGATGCATGTAAAATGGTGACATGGACAAGTGAACAGAGATATCTTCCACATCATGAGATAAAACATTGGTAACGTCAACACTTTTACAGTGACATATTTATGAGAAATAGTAGGAATAGTAGTAGTAGACGTAGTTGTATTAGTAGTAGCTCTAGTAGGACTACTAGTAGTAGTAATTAATTGTATTAGTAGTACTACTACTACTACTACTAAGTAGTAGTAGTACTTTTAAAATGGTTGAAACTTAATAACAAGAAAGAAAGAATATTGAAAATCCTGCCGTGTTTTATTTCATAAACTACCTGGTAAGTTTTGTTTAATTGGCATACATCATGAATGGGGATTATATTGGTAGTAGTATTAGATGGAGTAGAAGTCGAGGTAGCAGTAGTAGTACGTAGTCGTAGTAGTTGTTGGTGTTGTTGTTGTAGTAGTATTAGTAGTAGTAGTAGTAGTAGGAGAAGCTAATTAGTAGGAGAATAATTAGTAGTTGTAGTATTAGTAGAATTAGTAGAAGTGGGGGAAGTTGTAGGCCTAGTAGTAGCTGCAGTAGCTGTAATAGCTGTAGTATAGTAGTAGTAGTATTAATACTACTAGTAGTGTTATTAGTACAAACTTTTACCTGTGATATGGTTATAGTTGTAGCAGTAGCATAGTATAGTAACAGTGATAGTATAAGTAGTAGTTAGTGGTAGTGAAAGTAGAAGTAGTAGTAGAAGAAGTAGTAGTAGTAGTAGTAGTAGTAATAGTAGGAGTAGTAGGAGATGTTGTATAGTAGTAGTATTGGCTACAAGTAAGTTGTAGTATTAGTACAAACATGTACCTGTAATATAGTTATAATTGTATTTGTGTAGTAGTAATATAAATAATGGAAGTAGTCCGATCACTACCAGTAGTAGAAGTAGTAGTAGTTGTAAGAATAGAATTAGTAGTAGAAGTAGCAACGTTAGTAGTAGTAGTAGTAGTAGAAGTCACAGTAAAAGTAGTAGTAGTAGTAGTAGTAGTAGTAGTAATAGTAGTAGTAGTAGTAGTAGTAGTAGTAGTAATAGTAGTAGTAGTAATAGTAGTAGAAGTGTCGTGGACGAGTGGATATGTCACCGGACTGAGGATCACAAGGTCCGCAGTTCAAGTCCCACCACGGCACTATGGCCTTTGGCAATACATTGATCTACATTTGCCACTCTCCACCCAGGTGTTAAATGGGTACCCGGTAGGATGCGAAAGCTAATGTGGTTAGATTAGCAAGTGTGCGCTTGTAAAAATGACGCCTGGCTGGAATGCTCCCCAGGGAGTGGAGAATGTGCATACATTGTTTGCGGGTAAGCCTGAATCCAATGAACGGGGTAATAATATACTTATCTGTAAAGCGCTTTGAGAGGGCCTCCGGTCCTGAAAAGCGCTATATAAGAACGAGCTATAATTATTATTAGTAGTAGTAGCAGCAGCAGCAGTAGTAGTAGTGGTAGTAGTTGTTGTTGTAGAAGTATATGTAGTAGTGGTGGTAAAAGTATAGTAGTTAGAAGTCGTAGTAGAATGATAATAATAATAATAAATTACATTTATATAGCGCTTAATACAAAGTTTCTAAGCGCTTAACAAAAAATCAAATTAAAGTAATGTTAACCTACAAATT